GCAGCCCAGTGCCAGGGACTGACGGTTCCTAACAGGTCTGTGATGGACCTCAGTCTGTAAAAAAACCCATGCTGGAGAAGGAGAAAATTGTGAGCAAGGAGAGGCAGAGAGGAGATGATATGGACTCATAAAGCTTAATTGTCCATCCCATCCTGACCACTCTGGGGAGCTGGGTAGAAAAGTCAGAAGAGAAATAGTGAAGTTTAGTCTGAAGATGCAGGGTTAAAGGAGAAGTGGTTTTTTTGTGGTTTTGGGGTTTTTTAATAATTTATCTTTATTTCCCATTACCTAAATCTACTTTACTTGACAATAAATTCTATACATTTTCCCCAAGCTGAGTTTGTTTTTTGTCCTTTATGGTAAATTATAAGTAGTCTGCCTATGTATATTTTGATTTTCTTCCATTAGATTTTCTTCCAGTTTTCTCACCCTGTTGTGTTGAGGGCAAATAACAAAATTCTGGGTGGGTATCCAGCTGCAGATGTTGTTACAAAATCATATTCACAAACAAGCTATTTTTGTCATGAAAATAGCTAGAAGCAAGAAGTTATTCTATATCTCACATCATTACCAGGGGCAAGGGGGAAGGGAATACTTTCTAGGGAAAAGGGTTTCCATATGATCAAATAAAGGTGGAGAGGGAGTGGTGGGGTAACGCCAGTTCTGAGCCTGATGGAGCATTTGGGGAATTCTAGTTCCAAGCTGGACGGAGTGGCTTGATAATGCCAATTCCAAGCTGAGAGACCAGTTGGGGTGACGTGGCTGTGGTCAGTTTGGACACTGTGGAGAGCATTTTTCATGTGGATCATGCTCTCCCTTTTGTACATTTTTGTTCTTAATATTGTTGCTGGTACTCTTTTTTTTCATATTCTGTTGCTTTTTACAGTACATCTATTTTATTTCAACCCCTGATCTTTACCTTCTCTGCTTCCAGTTCTCCTCTCCAGCCAAATTCAGAGGGAAGAGGGAAGGGGAGGAGGAGGTGGAGCAAGACAGCAGCAGCATGATTTGGAGAATCTCAGTGGGAGCATTAAACTGGGAAGTAACTATTCTAACCCAGAACACTCAGTTTCCTTCCCAATAAGTATTTGAATCTGATTGATATCACAAGTATGATATCTTTATATTCAAATAAAAATATTCATATACATGTTACATAGATTTGAAATTCTTTTTTTTCCAAATCCAAGTTAATTAATGTAGTTATCATCTTAAATTCCTATTAAAAGGTTATGGCCCCTTATGAAGATTTCTTAGTAATGCTGACAAAGCTAATTTCCCAATTAAATACAGAGTATCTATAGGAACATGGCATTGTATCTGATCTTATTATTTAGGCAGTAGTGTAATGAATCTCACAGCAGTGCCACACTCTCCAGGCTATTCATATTTTGAATCTCAGTCATCATTATGAATTATGCTTGTTTGACACTTGATTGCTCTCTTTACCTCTCTTACTGAGTCTGGGCTGGTCTGTTTATGTCTATCTCTTGTGCCTGAGAGAAAGCAGGGCTTTGTATGCCATTGATTCAGGCAGTTCTCTGGACACACAAAGATGAGGCTTATCTTCTAAATCATCGTAATATATAAGGTTATGTCTCACAGCTTATCTCTAGCTCAACTCAGTACTGTTTAGTGAAAGGCAAAATAGAAGAGTACCTACTTTAAAGAAAAATCAACTGTCTCTCACTACAAATTCCTGTGAGGCCTCCAGAAGATTTGCTTTGCATGGTAATTTTTTTAAAGTTTGACCTTTTCCTTTCATTATCTGCATGGAAGCTTCTGGTTGATGAACAGTATAAAGATATGGTTCTTCATATCTGATGCCTAAATATGAATTTATAAATACTTAGACTTGACAGTTTTAACTTCAAATACTGTTCTTTACTATCCTCAGATGCCTTTTGCTCATTACTCCTCTCAGAGAGTCATTCTTGAATATAGCTGACACTATTTAACCAGGCCATTTTATCTCTTTTAAAACACTGTGACAGATGTGTAAATGCATTTAAACATTTACAGGTAAATATTTATTTCTGAGGTATTTTTATCACTTTCCTGTAATTTAACTATATGTGTGTGTTTTTTTCTGGTGGTGTTTAACACATAAAATTTTTTTTCCACTAAGAAAATCCTGTGTAAACTATCAGCTTTGAAAACAGTACAATTTGATATGTGAATAACTCTGTGAATTCACCAGTGGGACTTAATGAATAGCAATGTTTGCAGCCTCTGTAACTTGTTCAAATTCTACAGGCTAGTTAGAAACTTTCAAATGTCACAAATTATGGTTTACTTATAAGAAGTTAAGTGTATAATTTTCCCTTTGGCCGAGATTGGCAGATTTTTTATTCAAGAAAAAACATAGAATTTAACTAATTTAATCTTTCTTTATGCTATGGAAATGGAGAATTGATATGTATAAAATGTTTCTGAATTTTAACTGCTTTCATATTAACTGAAGTCATTATTAATATTGTAGTAAAAGTCAATATTTATCCACTGACAGTTCAACCTGTTTCTTTTGGTGTGGGTAGAGTGTGAACTAAAGTCATTCTCATGATCCCAAAATTTTAAATACTGCAGATTTTATTTTTGTTTTTGAAAAAAAAAAGTTGAGGAGTAAATTCAAAGCAAATCACCACTCCCATCCGTCCCTATAGCAGAGTGAAACCTAAAGATTTAGCCAGGTATTTGAATAATAGATCTTGAACAGCAAATCTGAAGTGGGAACTGGCTTATTTCACCTACAGATAGAGAAATTTAAAATATCTAACATCCTGAGAATTCCTCAGTCTCTTGCGTGTGTCTCTATTTGTTGGAAATATGAGGACAGCTTCATGTGAGATGGAGGTACAGGCCTTCATTACAGTTTTTTGTGACTTCACCTAAAAGAAAACACTATCTAAGAACTAACTCTCCTTTCTTGCATTTAGAGAGTGCAGTGAGGAGTATTGGTTATGGTTGTTTTGTGGAATTCAAAATTCATCTAAAGTTTAATATTACTGACAACCCAGTAATATAAGACAGGAGAACTTACTTTCTCTAAACTAAAAGAATACCAGAGATAAATTCTACTGCATATGCAAAGACTATGATTATCATTCTAGACTCTTTGGGGTACCCAAAACTGTGTGAAAGAACCCCTAATTATTACATTTTTAACCCCTGTGCAGATATCTCATATGGCACTGAAGAAAATTAAACTACAGTCAAGCAACAAGAGAAGTAGTCTACAATAGCGTGTTTGTGAGTGTATTTGTACTTATATGAAGGAGGCAGTGACAGCCATCTTCAGCTACAAATTTAAAAGTGAATGATAGGTAGTTGCAATATGTAGTGAAAGACATTGGTAAATCACTTCAGTGGTAATGCATTCTTTGGAAATAAGCCAATCATTGGCGATAATTTTCTGCAAGTATTTTCAATTCAGCTGTTTCCAGAACTTGGGTTATATATCAAAGTCAGAGATGCCATAAGGCAAAATGTAAAACATTGTATTACTCTTACTAATTCTGAGACAAAAACTTCCATCTTTTGGTTAAACAATGTTTATCTCAGTGGTGACTGATTCTGCAGAAGTTGAAGCCTGTCTTGTACATTTATGTCAGCAGAACATTTGTATTGTTTTGGTGAGCTAGCCCTGGCTAACAGCCAAACACCAACCCAGCCACTTGTTCACTCCCCTTCTTTAGGGAGACTGGGACAGAAAATAAGACTAAAAATCTTCTGGGAGGAAATAAATACTGGAGACTGTTTACCAAATACTGGGAGAAATTTATTTATTTTATTGTCATTTAAAATAGATTTGGATAGGGAGAAAGCAAGACAAACCATAAAAGAAGACATGTCTTTCCCACTCTCTGAAACTTAATTTCAGACATTCACTCAAACTTTCTTACTCTTTTCCTAAAAAGCAGGATAAGGTGTAGGTAGAAATAGGTATTGGTGGTTCCTCCTTGCCACTTCCTCCTTTTCAGAGTTTTCCTTTGCCCTGCTGTGTGCTTTTCCATGGGCTGCAATCAGTCCTTCTGGGCAAAAAGAAAAATCTACTCTGGAGTCTGTTCTCCCACAGACTATAGTTCCTCCAGAAATAACCGTCTGCTCCAGCCTGGTGCTCTCTTCCTTCTTCTCCTCCCCCCTCTTCTTCTCCTTCTCCTCTGCCTTGTCTCCCCTAGTGTTTCCTCTTCCTTTCTTATCTGCCTATACAGCATTCTTTTTCCTTTTGTAAACATGTTGACACAGAAGGGCCACCAGGGTGCTGCAATGGGTCCATTGGGGAGCCAGCTGGAGCTAGGTCTTCCTGACACTGGGAAACCCACCACATTTTCACATATAGGCCACCTTTGTAGCATCTGATACTAAAAAAAGCTAATTATTTTGTTCAGAAGAAAAAATTCACTTGAGAGCAAATTTTGATTTTTCCATCTAAAGATCCTACTTCAGTAGCTTTTAACATTTCTCCCGTACTTGTCAAACCTTTTGACAAAAATAGTGAATAGCAGAGATTTTTCTAGAGGCCCTCCTGCTCCAAATATGGGGCATATGGTTAATTCAAATGGTGCTTCTCATTGAAAATCGGAAAGTTTTTTTTTTCTCTTCCTGATCTTTTTTGAAGATTTTATGATAAAGAAATAGCGATTCGTAACCAGGTGTTTTTTTTTTTTTTGTTATTTTTTGTTTGTTTGCTTTAGTTTTGTGGGCTTTGTCAGTTTTGGTTGGTTGGTTTAGAGTTTTTTATTTTCAGATGAACGACAGATGTGAAATCTTCTTACATACATGGATACTCATTAATAATTAGTGTCCTCAGGTCCACACACATTGGATCAGATTTCAACTACTTTTTATTAGTTGATTAAATACTGAATTTCTAGACCAGCTGTGGAACATTTAGGTAAAATTTTAGTCCATTTCTCACAACATATCATATTTCTCAGAATATAAAACTAACACCAATCAAATTCTTGTAAGTTATGACATTACACACATAATTTACCTACATATAGTTTAGTCTTTTAAAGTCGTCTGCCTGTCAGCAGATTTCAATGTTGTAGTACTTGACAGCAGGGGAAGGATGAAGATATTATCTTCTGGTTTTTTTCTTGTTTCATTTTTGTCTATTTTTAAAACAAAAAGAAAATTTTATTTCTAAAACTCCTTGAAGCTTCAATATTAGTTCCTCTGTGTGACCAACAGAGTGAAAGTGAGAGCTTTCTGGGTTTTAATTTGGTCACTACTTACATAGTTATTACAGTGGTAGGTGGACTATCAATCCATTAACTAAAAAAAAACTTATTTACATTAAAATTCTCTTCTCTATTTCATTGAGATATTCATTTCAGTATGAAAGCAACAGGTTATTTACCTTCACAGTTTTAAGTGTTGAGATGATTCTTGACCTTGTAGGAATTGGGTTTACAATGTACTAACAAGGGAAAAAACTGTTTTCAGATGTTAGTATCACATTGCTCAGAATATTAATGCATTTTACATAAAGCAATAAATCGTTAAAATAAAAATTAAAGAGGCATAAACCCTACAAAATAACCATAGGAAATCTGCTGAAGTCAAAGTCTTCCTCTTCAACTGAAGCAGAACAACATAAGTATTAGATCATTCATTTCTTTTATCTATTTCTTTTGTCTCTGGATTTTGCTGTACAGCAATTTAGTTTCAGTAGAAAGCATGTAGGCCTTACAGTGAGGTCCTTTTCCCCCAAAACTTACTAGTGTGGCTATTTTATTTGACATTTTTGTTTTTCAAGATGAGGAACAAACTGAATCACCTTCTTTTATTTTCCATCCAACATAGTTCTCTAGTACATTGTTAGCCACATAATGCCAGTAAAATTCTGCCCTCCTTACCTTTATCTGTAGATGTGTTTGAAGAGTGTACTCCATATACCACTGTGACAACCTACAAAGATCTTCTCAAGAGAAAGTTTTCAGGTTCTGGATATCAGCTACAGGGGGCTTCCACTTAGTCTGATGTCTTCCTTGAGTAAAAGGGTCCAAAGAGATCCTTAGAAATAAAAAATAACCAAATAATCAAAAACCTTTTGATTACCTTTTACTTATATTAAATCAAAACATTTTCCCCTTTCAAGTCAGTAGATTATACAAGGATAAAAATGTGCATGCTGACATACTTTATCACTCCTAAGAATTCAGCCATAGAATGTTTATTTTGAAATAATCCTTTTCCCATACAAACAAATACAATGAAACAAAAATAAAAGGCAAATAATCATCTACACTGAATAGTTTAGGACCCAGAAACAAAGCATACAACAACATTAGAGCAAAATCTTCTTTTTCTCTCAAAAATATAGTAACACCTTTGAATATTTAATGTTCTGTTAGTTCCTTTTTGCCTGCATAAGAGCTATTAGTATTAATACAAATTACAGCTTCTGAAGCCTCAGATGTTGCTTCAAAGCTCATTTTCTCATGTCATTAAAACATGGCTTTTTGGAAAAGTGATTTACTTTACTTTCTAAAATACTACTCACAAGGATGCTTTGACATAATTAAGTCAATAACATTACTTAGAACCTCCACATAAAGGTAATTATTTCACTGTCAAATATTATGGTGATAAATGTAGACTAATGATGTAATTTGCTTCAATTAAAGTTGTTTTATGAAAATTGTGTTTCTGCATATAAACCTTAAAGGTTTATGATTTTTAAAAGGCAGACCTGAATAAAAATAAGTCCATGGTTTGGTAAGAAACTGATTATGCCTTCCCCCTATATTGGGAAACTCAGAAAGAGTATTTCAAAATTAAAAACACTGCCCTCCTGGTGGTTCCAAATTCTTTCCCTCCCTTTGCTCCACAAAATTAAGCAGAAAGCAAGCTGCTAGATCTTGTTCTGTTTCACATACCAAAATAAATAATGCACTTTAATCATATGTGTATAACCCAGCCTGGTGGACTCAATGCCATGCCTAGGCCCTTTGCACAATGAAGATATTATACCTGAAATTTAATAGCAAAAGTGACAAGCTTTTGGCAAGTCATGCGGGATTACAACATGCCTTGTGTAACGCTCTCTGAAATAAGCATTACTGTCTTTCTGCTAGAGGTGCGTAAAAATCTTGAACTGACAAGTCCTAGAGCTGATCCCAACCTCTGCAATTCACCGTGTGTAACTCCTAATGAAGACACTGTGGCATTAAAATTGTTTTATCTTGAAGCATATTCCATGATACAGACATGCTTGGACTTATTTTACACTCTCCTCTGTTCCTGGTAGTCCCTAGCACCAGAACAGCCCTGGCAGAAGCAGAACAAGCCTCTCTCAGTTATCTGGAGCAGACTTGGCCGGTTGAAGGTGGTTGGGGCTGGCTGGAGCTGGTTCCCCCCGTTCCCACGTGACTGTTGCCCCCCAAGATGGAGCTGCTTCTTACTCAGGGACAGTAGTCTGAGAGACTGTGGCGTGGGGGAACAATAACTCTTTGTGTCATGGGACTGGTGGAAGAACTTCTTCCACTCCTACCAGGACCCCAGGGCAGCCAAGAGTTGGTGGGGTGAATGGGTGAGAGATGCACCCTTTAACGAGGTTAGTACCAGTCAGGGACATGTAACACCTGAGAAGAAAGAATTGTGCTAGTGATGGCTTCTGTCTGGAAGCAAGAAGGGTAGAAGAATCAATGAGGATGATGAAGGGATAAAAATATTGCATGAGGACTCATATGGTGATGTCAAAACACTCTGTTTTCTTTATATCTCTTAGAATATGATTTTATTGTTTTTGGCATTTCTTGAGGTTGTGGCTGAGACTCAGACATAAATACAAGCAAAATTGTTCAGAGATACCTGCAGAGCCAGAAATAAAAAGAGAGCAGCCTGAGACTTTTCCAGGTACTGCTCACAAACTGTTTCAGGTAAGGCAACACTACAACTATGTCCAGACCCCCATTACAAAAAAAGAAGTGGATTGAAGAGTTCTTTCAAGAGTTACATGTGCTTGCTATTTGCCTTCTGGAATGCAGCTGTCAGAGAAGAAATTGGAAAGACTCTGAAGTTTCTGCTGTTTATCTGTTGCCTGATATTTCCTGCTGAGGAATGAGATCATGTTTCTGTTAAACTACAAGAAAAGCCAAAATTCCAGACAATTTCTAACTAAAGCATTGTAAAATCTCAAATTTCTATTTCACTTATTGCCATAATTCCTAGTTTAGAAGACCTTGTTATTAAAGCTTAAAATCTAGGAAAGTAGAATTTGAAGAATCAGAGAGGAGTTTCCAGATTTGAGTCCATTTTGCTCTTCTGATTGGCCTTAATTCCATTTTTTTCTCCCCAAACAGTTTTTGCTTTAAACCATCTAGTCAGTCTATCATACCTAATCTGGAATGATGGCTTGTCATTAAAAATTCCTTTGATTATTACCCCCACCCCCTTTTGCTGTTTGGGTTTTTTGTTTGTTTGCTTTTGTTTTTCCCAAGCAGTAACCGTTGCACAACATTTTTCCATTCCCAGAAGCACTGGCAATCCTACCCAGGGCTAATCAGAAGTGTGGGCAGCAGTTTGAGGTTATTCTCCCCCTCTACTCCAGCCTGATGAAACCCGACCCATAAAACTGCATCCAGCTGTTTATAAATATATGGGCCTGTTAGAGAAGGTTGAGAGGGCAACAAGTGTCATTAGAAGGCTGGAGCACCTATCTTAGGAAGAAAGGCTAATAAAGTTGGGGATATTTAGCCTGGAGAAAGGACCAGGGAGACCTCATTGAAGTCTTTCCATACTGAAAGAGAATTTATAAGAAAAACTCAGAATTTTTTACTAAGGTCTAATTTTCTACTAAGGTCTTTTACTAATACTGAAGGACAAGGAAACTTAAACTGAGAGAAGTTAGATTTTGATTGGTTAAATAGAAGAATTTTTTACAGGAAGAGTAATGGTGAGGCAGTGGAACAGATTGCCAGGAGAAGCTGTGGATGCCCCATCACTGGAGTTGTTCAAGGTCAGGTGGGATGGGGCTTTGACCAACCTGGTCAGGTAGAAGTTGTCCCTGCCTAAAGCAGAGAGGGTCAGACTAGATGATCTTTCAAGGTCCCTTCCTATACAAGCCATGATTCTACAATTCTATTATGTGACTGATTAAGCTTTTGTGTTTATAATAGTAAAAATGGTGTTGTATGTTTAGTCTGTCAAAGTGGTGACAGGAAATACTGAAAAACATAGACAAATATTCTAAGAAAGGAGGAATTAAAGGTGTAAACTGAATTTGAACCAGAAAAAATAAACAGAAAACCAAAAAAAAGCAGAGAAGAAATGCATTTCTGTTTTGTGTCATGTTTAAAGCATCAAAGATAGTGACAAACAGGAGATAGTACAGTGAAGAGCCACTAAAGATCACACGACATGAGGGGTGGCTGAACAGCCTGAGGAATAGATATTTAAAGGGTGATTTAATAGTATTCATGTACTGCTTAGAGAATACAGAAACAAGTGTTGGGCTGATTTTAGGGGTGCACAGTAAAAGAATGAGGGACCGAGACCACAAGGTGTACAAAGGGAAATTCTTATAAAATAAAAAGGTGGGAGCAAGAAAGCAAACAAAACACAATATGAGAGGTTAATCAGTGGAATGTTTGTCTATGAATAATGTGGAATTTTCATCTTTGGAGGTGTTCAGTGTACAGCTAGATAACACTTTGAATAAACTGATCTAATCTTAAAGTTAGCTGGGTGTTGAGCAGGAGGTTCAAAGAGAGGACTATTTTCAGTAGACCCCTTCAGAAAGACTTTTCTTCTGTGATTTTATAATTCAATATTTTTTCTGTAGGTGTAATTTAAATTATAGATGAGGGCAGCAAAAGTATCAGTGGAGGTAATAATTCTGTGGACAGCAGAAGTAAGGTCAATAATCATAAATTTCTTAGTACGTGTTCAGAGGAAGTGAAGTAGTAATGTTAGTAGAGATAGTAGGTAAGAAGGAATAAAAAAGGCATTAATAATTCAGATACAGTAGACATATGCAAATAAATTTGTTATGGTTATCTTGATAAAAATGTTTTATATTTATTTTTAAATGGATGAATAGTAAACATTCTGAAAGTAAACAAATAAACAAGCAAACAAAACCAAAGTTAACAGACCACTGATCAAAAGGCTATTAAAATAATGTATCAATGGAAAATGTTGATAAGAATGCCTTATACAGGATCTGGGAAACATGTCTATTTAAAAGCAGATATATTTTGTATATAATTATTATTCTTTGTAATTTACCCAGAGTAAGAACTGACTTAGTCCTAGTCTAATGTTCATAAAAAATGGATATTTTAGTCTTTCTATAATACAAAAGTAAACGTTGTCATAACAAAAGGATCCACTGTTTCCTGATCTAATTTGCAAAAGAATCAGGAGATGGGACTGCTACTGCTTAATTTGAAGTCAAATGTAAGCCTTAAAATATTTTTTACTTTGTCCATACATACAATGCAAATTTAACACTGCTGGTACAAAACAGTTTCTATTTTGTGATAGTGGTGCAAATCTGAGTGAAAAGAAAAACAGAAAACTGCTGCTCGAGACGGAAGTTTGAGATGGGAATCTGATAGATAAATGGATATGTGATAGTCAGCCTATGCAGTGAAAGTTTAAAGTAGGAGATCCTTGGATTCCCCTCTTAAATTTCTCCTAATTTCTGCTTTCTGAAATTTGCTGTATCTCCATGTCCGTTTGAACAAGGAAATACATAAAATACAAGAAATGAAAGAATTACTATGAAGCTCTGCAGCACACCCATAAAAGACTAAAGACTGGGAGCCTCATTTTGAAATATAGTAAGGGTATAATGAAATCTAATATTTACAATGGGAAGAGTGACTGTGTAAAATTATGTGGGAAGTGAGTACATTTTGTAGTGTAATATGAAATTTGCCTCAATCAGCCCATGATATTAAGTTAAATTATATATGATAGAAGAAATGCTTCAGAAATTCAGAAGGGACTTTAGTATTTACTTCAACAGGAAGAAGCTTGTATTTGTTTACAAAACTGACTGAAAA